GACATCACAGTGTGGGTGCACTTCACAGCAGACACGGGAAACCATGACATCACAGTGTGGGTGCACTTCACAGCAGACACGGGAAACCATGACAACACAATGTGTATGTACAAGGGGCTTCAAACATTCAGGAAAACAGTTCCTGACCTCTGAACTCTATTTTCCATGAACTTTCTGAAGTCCCCCCAGGTGAGTATGTGTGACGTACAGACTTTGTCATTTTTATGTGCATATAGATTATTTTGAATACTGGTTGATTTCTTTTTTTCTTTTACTAACTTTTTTTTTCCTGTCCAATTTAAAGCTCTTAGAAAACACTGATTTGATGGCTTCCCAGACAGAATGTAAGCAGGCATAGAGGTTAGGAGTTGGTCTGCGATCCTCAAGGCCCACAGTTGGAGAACACCCACTTCTCCTCTGTTTTATGTGGTTACTATTGCTGGGTCCTTGGCTGTTGTTGTTCTTTGTCCTTGTCTAGCAAGTTCTTCTGTATAGAAAAGGATGGGTGGACTGATGAAGACAGCGACTGAAATACAATTGCCTGGGGGCACAGAAGGGGAAGGGGAGAAGGGAGGGGGTGGAGAATAAACAGCAGTGGGTACAAGAAGGAGGGAAGTGTTCCAAAATTGATTGGGGTGAAGACTGCACAGTTCTTCTCCATATGGGTAAACTATTGAATTGTATAGCTCAATAAACTTAATTTCAAAAAATTATCCCTCGATAATTCCAAAACACAGGTGCCACACAACCTTCTAAGCTGAACTCTATATCATGAACTTAACTGGCCCAGAAGATTCCGATGGAAACCAATGTTTTGATGGCATCTTTTTGGAAGGCACCCTGGCAAAACTAAAGCAGAGCAAATTTGTATGCAGCAAGCAGTAGTTTATTCTGGAATGTACCACCTGGACAGGTTCCCAGGAAAACTTTTCCTAAGCTGAAATCATGCAAAGGAAAGAAGTAATTATCTTTCATTTAGATGGGAAATGTGAGCGTTCCTACCAAATCATCTCAAATAACACACGTCCCAGACACTGATCCACAGCATCCCATGATGCTTCTGAGAAAGGAACGTGGCGACACCACTCTCGATGCTCGGGGTGTACGCCAACCCTCAGACACGCTGAATGCTAGTTGGTTTCTCGCTCCC